CAGGAGGAGGGAAGCGGTGGGCAGATCGTTTGCACTTTTTACAGCTGAATTCACGGGCACAACGTCCAGGACAAAACGCTGCCGTTGTGTCTGGTGGTGGCAGCGTTTGACCTGCGACGGGGTGTGTCTTTCTTCTCGCATTTAAAACCCGTTGTGCCGGCGGGTTGTCCTGTGACTTCCTGGGAAGTTTTGAAGGGACAGAATCGCACTCAGCCTTCTCACATCTCCTGTCTGGAGAAATACCCACCTGCTGCCCTGTGCTGTGTCACTGCCTGTGCCCTTTGAGGCATCGAACAAAACGAAAGGGGGGAAAAAATGGGAAATGGAGAAATAGAGAAAATTGGTTTAAACTAGATTTCCTTTCCTTTCCTTCCTTTCCTTTCCTTTCCTTTCCTTTCCTTTCCTTTCCTTTCCTTTCCTTTCCTTTCCTTTCCTTTCCTTTCCTTTCCTTTCCTTTCCTTTCCTTTCCTTTCCCTTTTCCTTTTCCTTTTCCTTTCCTTTTCCTTTTCTTTCAGTATTTATGGCACCATAAATGGCTCAGAATTTGGGAAAAACTGAATTGGAGAAAGGCCATCTGAGATGAGTCCCATCCAACACCACGTGCACAGACAGGAGGTAGGAACAATCCTGCTTGTTTTCAGTAAATTCTAATAATTCTGGAGTGGCACAAAAGCTCTGCAGAAAAGTGTGAGGAACAGCCAGCAGGTCAGGGCTGGGAACAGCTGCAGACCCTGCTATGAGGACTTTCCTCTCCCCCATGTCTATGCCCAGAGCTCAGCTGCCCAGAGCTCACCCCCAGCAGGGCAGGGCCACATCCTCCTCTGCTAGGAGAGAGGCTTTTTCTTCCCCCTCTCCCATTTTATTTTGTTTTCCACTTCAAGGCTCAGGTTTTCCCACCCACTAAGAGTCAGACAGAAACCCCTCACCCCTTCCTTGTGCCCAACCACCAGACACAGAGAAACAAACCTTCCTCCTTGGGCACCTGCTCAGGAGAAGGAGACAAGGAGGGATTGCAACGTTTTAATAAAATCAGTTAATTTATTTTTTTGTTGCCAGGCTGGAACGTGGGATAATTCCCTTCTTTGAAATCCTCAGCACAGCTGAGAAAGCTGGTACCAACCCTCCTGCTCCAATTAAGGCTGAGGTCAGCCACAGCCACAGGTTTGATGTGTGCATGCAGCCACTTGTTTGCCCATCAGAGAACAAGAAAAAAGAAGGAAAACTAGAGTCTATAATTGTAGCTGCTGTGGTGGCAGATCTGAAGCAGCCTGACTGGGATGGCATCACTTCTGTCTCCTCAATTCTACAGCTTCCCCAGCATCCTGCTGTGCACCACCACATGGATATGCTGCATCTCTCCCCCACCAGTAATTCTTGGACTCTGAGTGATTTCTATTCCTTATTTTAAAGTTCATCTAAGATATCTAATTATTTGTTTGAAATGTAATTTTTAAACCAGGCTAATGGCAATGTTTCTAATAGGTGGTTTTTAAGCTTGTGGTGTGTTTCTGTGCAAAGGCATCTTTGACTTCTTGTATATTTTGGACATTATTGTTAATTCCAGAGTAAGATCTAGGCTGTTAAAGCCCCATAGTCATACAGCTTTTAATTAGCTGTATTCCCAAAGTAGTGAAAAGTCCATGCATGAGGTAGAATCCCAACATCATGTAACTACACGTCCCAAAGATGTGAGAAATGGCAATGGCCTGGAACATGATTTGTTACATTTGTGTTTTTCTGAGTCCTATAACTGAGCAGAGCAGTTCCCTGTGGTTAATTGTCCGAGGCAAAGAATCACAGAATCATGGAATACCAGGTTGGAAGGGACCTCAAGGATCATCTGGTCCAACCTTTTTAGGTGCTGCTATAGTTTATATGAGGTGGCTCAACACCCTGTCAGGCTGAGACTTAGAACTGTCCCATGTGGGGGAATCCAACACTTCCCATGGCAAACTATTCCAATGTCTGACTGTCCTCATGGTGAAAAATTCACCTCTTGTGTCCAAACAGAATCTCCCCAGGAGCAACTTGTGCCCATCACCCCTTGTCTTTTCCATGTGGCTCCTTGTAAATAGGGAGTCTCCAGCTTCTTGGTGACCCTCCTTTCAGTACTGGAACAGAGTCTTGTTCTGCTTTATTCATTCTGTCCAAACTAGAGCATCCCATTTAGATCTTTTCAAATATTAAAGTTTGTTTTTCTAGCTATGGAGAGGCAAAAAAGCACCAGGTGCTCAGGCAATTATTTTTTCTTTGAATATTTTATTGTAGGGAGGTGTCTCCCAGCTTCTCTGATGTTGGCCAACCTATGTCCTGAAGTCACATTTCAGCTGATTGCTCAGTTAATTGAACTGTCACGTCCTGTTAAAAACTCCAGAACCTGATGTGCTTCCAGTTCAGATCTCCAGGGCTGAGTGACTGTGCATTGGAGCCTCAGCCTTTCTGCACATCCCCAACAGGGGGAGAAAATTGCAATCCAGGAAATGTAATTCATGCCAACCACGCTTGTAGCTTGAGGTTTCATCAATTATCTAGAATCTGATGCACAGATAATTGAATTATCACCAAGACTGTGACAGGTTGGACGAGGCTTTTCAGCAAAGGAGCTGCTGTTTGAAAATTAATTGCAACACAGAAGATTTTCCTCCTGGAGTGTGGTGGGGGATACTACAATTTGCCCACCCCAGGTCCCCCATTGCCAGCTGGGCAGGTTTCTGACTGTTGCCTTTAGTGATGGCAGCAGTTGTCACTTTGCAGCTGGAGGTGCAGTCTCAGGAGACTGCCTGTCCCAGCACTAAAGGGTCCATCCTGTCAGAAATAAACCTGTCAGAAAACACACCTGCTCCAGCTGCCACTCAGAGGAGCAGCATCAGTTGGATCTATGGGCCTGGCAGTAGAAAAAAAAAATCAGTGTTTAAGGTCAAAAAGAGTGTTCACCATAAAGACTCCCTTGGGAGTTCTACCACCAACTGCAACCAGGCAGCCTGGCAGAGCAGGACTCTGGAGCTCAGCGTGTCCTGCTTCAACCCCAGTGTGGCAACTGAAGGCTGAAGCTTGATCTGCAGCACAGACCCTGCAGCCAGACACAGCTGCATGGAAACAAAGGAAATCTGTGTGCAGGACACTGGCAATCACACTGGTTGTGCTGGGGCTCCCTTTACACTCCATCTTTCTAGGCGACTGGGTGCAAACTTTTCTGCCAGGAGGTGTTAATTGAGCATTACCCAACCGAGTCATCCCCTGCTCCCAAATTTGCTCCCCCTTTGAATATTTTAGTTGACTACCAGGCTCTTAGGTTCTGTGCCAGCTAAGTAACCCAATTCATTATGCAAAAAACACACATATAATAGTTCATTATCCTCCAACCAGCCTCTGGGCATATGTGCAAAGATGTATCAAAGAGCATCAGTTAGCAAGAAGAATATCAAAAGAGAAAACGCAGTTGCCACAGGGTGTTGATCAGCTGCAACATCCTGCCCCAGAGATGGTTTCATCTCGGCCCTGGCAGATCCCCACGTACCTCTCATGCAATTTACCATTTGCGAGTCTTAATTAGCGGGTGTTTGTAAAGAGCTTGGGAACACTTGGATGGAAGATGTTGCAGAAATCTGTGTGATTATTATTATTAATGGCATCGTTTTCTCCAGGCTGGAGCAGGACGGTTCCAGTGCAGGGGTGACTCGGGGCCTCCTGCCCTCCCTGCACCACCCGCGGGGGGGTTTGGGGACCCTCCTGGCCTTTTGCTAATTGGGCCCCACGGGACAAGGTCCTGGGGATCCAGCCCAGCAACGTTGTGGCACAAAAGAGCTTCAAGGGGAATTGGGCTGAGAGTTCGGTGCTTGGGATGGCTCACTGCTGGCTTTCCAGCCCTCCCAGCGATCCCAAAGGCACCAGGCGTAGCTGTGTCACCCTGGCACAGCCGTTCCTGCCGCCGTGCCTCAGTTTCCCCACACGGAAACCGGGGCTGACAAAAAGTCTTTACCCACAGGCTGGCCTTCCCC